CTCACGAGCACTGTCAGGGTGACTGATCAGAAGAAATGCAGACAGCTACGCCCGTCTGTAGATGTAGACTCGCGTGTGGGATTTCTCGCACGTCGGCCTAATCAATACGATGAATACTTGAAGGATACTGATCTTCCAAATCTCAGTCATCAGATGGAAAGACTGGATGTATCAAGTTTTCACCCAACTGCAACAGCGCGCCGGTTTTACCGCCCAACGCGCTTCTCCGGGTCGCTGGCATCTTGCCCCGAGACGTTCCTGTTCTCAGAATCCTCCCGGGCGGCCTCTTTCCGCAAGAGCGGCGGCGGCCTGCTCCTCGGCCCAGCTGCGCCTTCTTCTTCTCCTCGGCAACAAAGTCCACGTTCCGGATGAGGAGCATAATGAGGAGGAGGGGAATCGAGATTGACAGCGATGCGATAGCCAGTGTCTGCTGCGTCTGGCGGTAGCTCAGATTAATGGCGCTCCTCTCAGGCGTGCCGATCGCAAAGCTTTGGGCGGCAACGATGGAGCGGAAGATGGCGCGGCTGTTCTCCTTGGCTGCTTCTGGGAGATGCTCCAGGAGACGGCGGGGGAGAATCGTGTTCCAGATGGCTCCGCTGACACTGTGATGCACGCATATCAGTCAATGTGCGGGTATGGGGTGCGATCCTGCCCTACCTGTTGCCAACGTTGGCACCAAAGCCTGAAGAGGAGAGGAAGAGCGCAGTGGCAATGCCAACCTCGTGGTCCGGCACGACGGCTTGCAAGGACACCTGCAGAGGGATCTGGGCAAAGCCGCGGCCCAGACCTAGCAGGACCTGACTAGTCGTCAGAGCGGCCTCGTTGGCGACACGGGTCCCGTCAATGTTGGTGAAGTAGATCGGAAGTCCGTTCGCGAGGGCGACCATGACACAGCCAATGATGATGAAGGGCTTGGTGTGCTTGACGAAGCGGATGGCGATACCAATGACGAGTCCACCGAGGTTGAGGGCTACCCTTCGAGCGTTGCTGGGGGGGAGGATCAGTATTGGACGACAAGGCCCTCGATGGACGACTTACTCGATACGAACAGCATGTCCCGGCGAGTAGCCGCCAGCCACTTGGAGGAAGCTCGGCCCGAAAGCACGATAGGTCGAGTCTGACATGGCGATCAAGCAGACCGACACGCACGCCAGGAGAACGTTCCGGTTCTTGATCATGCGGAACGGCACAATGGGGTTCTTCGCAAATCGTCCATCCCACACGAGGAAGGCCACAAAGGTGAGCACACCCATGATAATGAGAACGATCGAAGAAGCTTCAGTCCAGCGCTCTGTGTTTCTCCTTCCCGTGATGGACAGCGGAAGGAGGGTCATTGACAGACCGGCCAGCAGCAGGAACGCTCCCATAATGTCGAGGCGCACCCACACAACGTAGTAGAGCTGGGTCAGGAAAGACGATCCCTGGGGAGCTCCAGAAGAAGCCCGCAGCGGCAGCCTTTGCCACTTGATACCCTTCTTGCGGCCGCGGTGCTCCATGAAGAGCATGATGGCGATGGTAGGCAGGGCGCAGAAGGGAATGATCACAGCCCACATACCGAAACCCCAGCGCCAAGTCGAGTTCAGGAGCATGTGCTCTCCGAGGTAGGTCCCAGCGTACAGGGTAGGGATAGCAGCGAGCGACTGCGGCAGGGTAAAGAGGAAGCCTCTGTTGACAAGAGAAGTCACATCGGCAATGAAGATTTGCTCCGTGATGGTCCACCATGTGTCACCGAATGATTCGAAGATGCCACCGGACTGCGCAGGCTCACAGTCACTACATAATCCCCATGAGCTGGATATTTAAACAAATGTGCGAAATTTACCAGATAGGTTTCCACGTTGTGGCAGGCAGCATAGAGTACATTTGCCAGTGCCATGCTGATGGCGGAGCCGGCGAAGCCCTGAGGACGACCAATGTGCTGGACGACGCAAGGTGATCAGTAATTGCTACATGCTCCTCCTGGACTCAGTGTTGGAAATTGTACTCACATCGGCGACCTTTGCGAGAAGCGGATATCCCACAATGCGCACGATTCCGTGGATAATGTTGGCCGTGGCGATGAGCGAGTGACCTTCGAAATGACTTGTGACATAGGGGTCGTAGACGCCGGCAGACGAAGCAGCAAAGATCATGCTGAAGTTCATGATGAACAATCTGGGCTCCGTTAGTGTTTCATTGCCGGGGGCTTTCGCGGTTCGGCTGTCGGGGTGTGCCTTGATGTACTCACCCAACGAAGACTGCGACCAGAGGCCTTATACTCCAGATCTTGCGCATTGCCTCCGTTGGAACAGCCATGGGTTGTTCCGGTTCCTGCTCCTTTGAAGGATCCCCGGGGACAAGTCCATCTTGCTGGTCAATGTTGCCCTTGTTCCGTTCGATGGCATCCTCACGCTTGTTCGGCACTGCCGTGACCTGGTCGGCTGAGGCGGCCATGATGTAGACGAGCGGAAACGGAGGACGAGTACTTCGTCGGGTGGCTTTCCAGGTGCCTTGGACGCAGCTTTGGGGGTCAACCGAAAGTAAGAACTTGGGGAGAGTCCTGAAATGTACGCCCTGCGACTGCACATGGTCCGATTCTTAAATCTCTGCCCCTCCCCATTCACCCGAACTACCGACATGCGCCACCGACAACTGCCAGGGCGTGAGGGGACAGAGCTCGCGACTCGTGGCGCTTCCTTCAGGGTTCGTCAAGGGTCGCTCGTCCCAGCAGAATGGTCTTGGCAGCTCGTAACCTGACGGAAGCGGCTTGGCGGCGCTTCAGTGCGGGACAATCAGATCCCCCGGCCCCTGCTCTATCTTATCTGATCATCTCCGAGAGCGCCGAAGTCGCGTGGAATTTCGGGTGCACTGACAAATGCTTGACCAAGCATGTTTGGCGTGTGGTCATGTCGTTCGTCTTGCTGCCGGCTGCAAGTTGAGTTTCGAGGTCAAGGTTCAAGGTTGAGGTGACCAAAAGTTGCCTGCACTCTTTGTCAATTTACCATGCTCCGCTGATCGGACGAAGCGGGCCAGCGTCGGTGTCGCTTCGAACCGTTTTCAACCGTAGGACGATGTCAAGACAGACAGACACTGAAATCAACAGGTGAAGAAAAGATGAACCATCAGGCACGCGAATCGTCGTAGTTGCATTCGACCCTGAGCAGTGCGAAGATCCATGTCCTGTCGTAGTCAGGGCGGTTGAA